CTAGTTGAGAAAAGATGGGAAAAATCTTCTGAATCCACCATTTAACTAAAGAGAGAAGACATTTGATGATTGTCACAAGAGCACGTACAATTTAGAGAATAACGATAATCGTATCGAAGTTTGGGAAGCTGCACGTTTACACAATTTCATTGAAAATAGTTTATGTGTGCATATGCAATTTCCGGTAATTTTATGAATAATTTTTAATTTATAATAAATAAATAAATAAAGTAAACCACATTTATACTTGAAACAAAACAAGGACCGGAAAGATTTTAATTTTTTTTAAACGGAAAAAAATGTAACACAAATTTAGTTGTATTTCACTTATAAGATAACACTTAATTGTGCATGTAAATAATATTTAAATCCCATTTTTTCGTTTCTTATGAAACAACTTCTTTTCTGCTGGCAGTCGTTTAGTTTTCTTGTCCTTTTTCTTTCCTTTACAACGGATCTTACCATTTATTTCGACATAACCCTTACCACTAAATGGTGGATTTGACGGGTTCAACCAAACTTCCTACCAATGTAACTAGCAATGTAAGCAACCAAGTTAAAAACGTTACCAATTCGGCTGATAAAGTCGATAATGGTAAAAAGGTTGATAGTAGTAACAAAGTTGATAATAGTAAGACCGATAATATCAAGACCGATAATAAGACCGATAATGTCAAAGTCGATGATATTAAACCAAATAATATTGTAGATGATGTCCAAGCCAAAACTGATAAAGTCAAGACCGATAATGTTAAGGCCGATAATGCCAAAACCGATAATAAGACCGATAGTGTTAAGACCGATAATTCCAAGACTGATAATGTCAAAGTCAAACCAGATAGTATTGTAGATAATGTCAAAAATGACACGGTTAATAATGTTTCCGATCTACCTAATGCAGTTGACAATACAGTTAATAATAAAGATGTACCTGTAAACACATCTAGTATAAGTCCACCCAAGACGATCAAAAACACAATCAAAAATACAATCAACAAAGATAATCCAGTTAATAATATAGTTAATAATACATCTAGTAAAATACCCGAAACGGTCGAAAACGTTGATAATACAGTCAAGGGTGTTAATGATAAAGTCAACAAAGATAATCCAGTTAACACTATAGTTAATAATACATCTAGTAAAATACCAGAAACGGTCGAAAACGTTGATAATACAGTCAAGGGTGTTAATGATAAAGTCAACAAAGATAATCCAGTTAACACTAT